TAAAATATTTTCCCTACTAGTTTCTGAATATTGCCTTTTTTTAGTATTAAGGCCTTCAGGATGAGATCTGGAAGGTGTCTGAGTTTGCCAACCCATTCTCCTTTCTGCACATCTTCCCCTCATCACTGTTGCAAAGGTAAGTTTCTACAGGAAAGAGGTGACCCAGTAGCAAAACCTGACCCTAACCCCAGAAAAAAAAACTGAGTGTTTCCAAGAGTTGTCAGAGAAAGCTCAGAAAACGCAGGCAAATTATGAGGTAAGCTGAGGAGGGGGTTGCGGGGGAGTTTGCGAATCACTCCTTGTTTATGTGGATTTCTTACGAGAGTTACACCACTGAACAAGCCCAAACATAGATTCTCAACCTCAGCCAGGTCCAACTCAAAAGTTAACAGGATGTGTAAACCTGCTCTACAACCTTCCAATGAATTCTTCCATAATAAGGTGGAAACCTGCTTTGTGCAAACCCGGTCTCTGTAGAATATGGATATTGTTTAATAAGCTTTCCTGACTTGGCAGCTTTATCAAAAGCACAAAACATCCGCTCCGTAGAAGTAAGTAAAGCTTAACCATATCCTCCTCCCCACAACTCATTGCCAGGGTTTATACATCCATGACAGCCATTGATATTAATGGAGACCCATTATCTCAATGAGTACATTTTAATGCACCATGACAGTCTGGGCAAGACAAAAGCAAATATTATGGTCTATGGTTTTTGCTCACTTGCAGCTTTCTTGCCTTTTATGGGGAAACCTCAACCTGGCATTCATCCTGGGAGGAAAACTACACTGCCACAGTACGGAGATGCATTATTGTAAAATAGTTATAAAACACACCACAACAGCCTTATTAATTAAACTGTGCTATAAACATTATGATGTCTAAAACCCCTGCTGAGAAACAACACTCTTTTAATCAAAATTGTTTTCATTCCTCTCCAAATTCCTCAGGTGGTTTTCCTGTCTCAGCAGCTGGAGACAAATTTCCCAGCAGTTGCATTGCTAGAATGAATACCTGAGTTGAAGGAGGGGACCCTCACAGACAGTTAAGTGAGATATATATAGCGCCCTACAACTTAAAGACAGGTGGTGCAATGAAGGGAGGTGATGGGGGGGGGGACCAGAAATGGAGAGAAAAGAGGGAGTGAAAGGAAAGTCCATGGGAGCAGAGGGCAGGGGAAGGAGATCCCACCTTCTCTCCTTGGACTCTAGCGGGCTAACAGTACAATGACCAGGTTGCAAGGACACCAATTATAATAGTCCGATTCACAAAATCAGAGCATGGATTATAAGACAAATGTTGGATATTTAAAATAGGACAGAATTACACGCAATATCACTGCTGCAGAAATTCACAAATTCATTTCTTTTTTATTAAAGAAAAGCACATTGTTGACAATGAGAGACAAAAAGAAAGGACATCATCCCTATGCAAAGACATCAAAGATGTCATGTGGGAGGGATGTAAGGCCACACCTCAAAAGAGATGGCTGTAAGTGCATTCAAAACAAACTAGATTATCTTTATATAAATACCAATAATGGAGTGTGGAAAAGGCTAGTGTAGATTAGAGGTGGGCATGAACCGGGAAAATTGAGGCTCATTTCAGTTCATGGTTTGTGGGGCCACACGAACCGTAAACTTTCACAAACCTTTTCATTTATTGAACTGGTTCATTTTATGGGGGTCATGCAGTAGAATGCCTCACCTGTGGGCTAGAGACACCAAAATTCTTGTTAAGTCTCCAGATGACTCTTCTCTACCTGATCTTCACATTTGGTGAGGATTGGATTTAGGGGGGCCAACTTATGCCTCCCCAAAGCAGGTGATCTTTGGGGAAATCACAGCTGCAGGTCCAGGAGTGTGAAGAAGGAGGACACATATGGGGGATTGGATTTATACCCCGCCCTTCACTTGGAGTCTTAGAGCAGTTTACAAACTCCTTTCCCTTCCCCGCCACAACAGACACCCTGTGAGGTAGGTGGGGTTGAGAGAGCTCTGACGGAAACTGCCCTTTCAAGGACAGCTCTGACAGAACTATGGCTTGTCCAAGGTCATCCAGCAGCTGCAAGTGGAGGAATGGGGAATCAAACCCGGTTCTCCCAGACTAGAGTCCACACACTTAACCACTATACCAAAATGGTATAGAACAGAACCCCCACAAGCCAGAGGCCTCAAACTTGCAGCAGACCTCCCCGGGATTCCCTTGTACATGACCCCCATAGAGCAGAACGGCAGCTCTTTTATTGGCAGCCAGTGCTGCCTGTCAGGTTTTGGAGGGCCACTATTGGTGTTTCCAGGGCTGCAGAAGTCCATTCCCCCCCCCCCCCGTTGCTTTGATTATTGTAATTGATCTGCGTCTGCACGTCTGCCACAGATGCCACTGACATGCACCACCACAAACCACCTGAACCTCCAGAAACCACATGGAACCTCACAAACCACGAACTAGGCAATTTTCATCACAAATTTTCATCATGAATTTAGGTTCAGGGGCTGGTTTGTAGATTGTACTGTGGTTTTGCCATTGTCCCTTCTCTGGGCACAGACTAAACCAACTCCACTCTCCTGCCACAGCTAGGCCAGGCCTGCTGCAGCACTACTAGTGCTGAGAAGAACAAGCAGCCCCTGGTCTCACCCCTCACAGCCACACAAAGAAGAGGACAGGGACCCAGTAAGAAGAAAGAGGGCCAGATGCATATCAACAACCAGGGCTTTTTTTGTAGAAAAAGCCAAGCAGAAACTCATTAGCATAACAGGCCACACCCAACAACAGAAACACATTAGCATATTAGGCCACACCCCATGCCTTCTCTTGGCTTGCCTAGGTGCCCCATGGCTGCGGGGATCCTGGGAAAGTCCCCCCTCGAAGGGAAGGCAGTTTAAACTGCCTTCCTGTGGCTCGCTCGGGCACCCCGCAGCTGCGGGGAGTCCGGGCAAGCAGGCCCTTGAACAGGCCAGGGAAGGAATGGGGAAGCATTTAAATGCCTCCCCGATTCTTCTAGGGGCCCCTTTGGCCCACCTGCCTCAAAGTCGCCCGAGGGGGTCGCTCTCCAGGCCTTCCCTCTGTAGCCACGCACGCAGAGGTTTTGGCTGTAGTGGGCATGGCCAACTCTGAAGCCAGCTCAAACTCCGTTCCTGTGCATTCCCGCCCAAAAATAGCCCTAACTAGGACCAGTCCTGTTCTGTGCTACTACTGACAGGGTGCTGGGTGTACAACAGTTCCTCTTAGAGATTACTTCCTGTATTCCTGCATCTGGCTTCTGTCTGGCAAAATTCCCGTGTGGTCATGTTAACCTTAGCCAAGTATGACTGGGAACTGTCCTCCTGACACTGCATTAGACCCCCTAGATCATTGCATTAGGCTCGTTGGCTATGCTTCAACTATCTTAATCATGATCTACAAGAGGAAAAGGAGCTCTTTCATGTGCTGCAGGTCAAATTGATCTGGCTAGGCCCGATACTCAGCTTCTTTTTAAAAATGAGAATATTTCCTTTCACCTCAAAATTGAAGACGTCTCCGGATGTTTTGGCTGGGATACCATGGCCCCGGTCACACGGACAGGAAAATGCGAGGGGGAAGCAAGGCTGTTTGCCCCGGAGAAAAATAATGCATGGCTGTGCAATCAGACGTCCCGTAGAGGTCCCGTGGTTAGGGGGGAGGTGCCAATCACAGGACAATCCTGCGGCGCAGCAAAGAAGTGGCCTCTCTAGCAAAAGGCTCCGCGGGTTTAACCCCTTCCAGGGCTGCAGAGGAATGCAAACTGTGGCCTCCGTCTGGTCCCCTCCAGGAGGAGCTTCAGCCAGGCCGCCCTCCCGCCATGCCCCCCCTGCACCTCCCCCTCTGCCGCCCGGTGCAGTGAGTTCTTCTCGAGCAGACCGAGCCAGGAGTGGGGGGGTACAGAAAAGAGGAGGGGGCTGTGTTGTTTGTTTTTAAACGAAGTGTGTGTATGCGCCGTTGGGTGCTTGTGCGCATCCTGTGGAGACTTGGGGGAAAAAAACTTTTAGCGACGGGACATGGGCGGGTGCCAGATGCCACAACCTACCACCAGAAACGCGATCAGGCACCTGCTCTTGCCCTGTGGTTTCCAGAAACTAGTACCTCGGAGGTACTAGTTTTTTACCCCGCATCTTCAGCGGGAAGCCTTGGGTTCGCCACGGGAGCTCTATGCTTCCCAGATGTGGCGCTGTGATCGTGCCCGGAAAATCCGCCTATCTTCCGTCTCTGTAGCGTGGCTAACGCTCTGTGTGACTGCAGTCCATATATGGCAACCTCAAGGAGAGCATGCATCGGGCCAAAACAAATGCAAGGAATCTTAAGGGACCCACAAAAGCCAGAAAATTAGTTCTCAAACAAACATTTACAAGAACTTTCCTCATTGATCCAATGCAGTGACAGAAAACAAGAACACACCTCATTTTTCTTCAAAGAGAAACAGACACTTGCTTTTATGGGCATTTACATTAAAAGCAACAATATAGAGAGGGAATACCCTATGTGTGCCTGCTTGAACCCAGCAGAAGCTCATTAACAGCAGTTAATTTTAATCAATTAACCACCTCTATTTTAACCAAGCTACAAATTAAATATATGTTATATCGACCAAAACACGTTTCTGAGCTAGTTTTGAGCTACTAATGGGTCAGATTATAATTTTTGAAAGATTTTTAAAAAGTCTTTAAAAAAGGCATCTTCAGTTGAAGCCAAGTCACAAATCCAATGTAGAACTATTTTGACAATGTCCAACTATCTTTAATGTTTTCTGTTTTATTTTACAGCTGTTCAGAATAAAAAAGATCTCAACAACAGGCAAATAGGCCTCCTGGTACATATGCTCTCACTGATTAAAAGGTGATGAATGAAATCTTCAGTTAGATTATCTGCAATTCAACCTACTGAAGCTTGCAACATAAACCAAAATGCAACACTGGAAAGAAAAAGACGAGAAAAAGACAGTAAATCCAGGTGTCCTACCTCATCTTCGCTTACTGGTTTGCTACTTTCAGTTCTGGGTTTCTTCTGTAGAACTTTGATTTCATATTCTGGTCTGGGATGTTCCTGTGGCAAACAGATACATGGGGAAAGATTTAATTGCTCAGGATTTGTAGATCACCAAAACACATCAAAATATGTCTACACACTGGACGTATTTGGTTGTTCACAATTAATACACACAAGGATCTAACAGGAAACACTGGTGGGGTTTTCTAAAACAGGGGGGGGGGACTGAAATCCAACCTGTATACACTCCTTGGTGAATTTCAGCAGTGAAAAGGGAAGGAGAACATATTTAAAGCAATCTTAAAACATGAAGTTTGTCAATAATCATATCCTTATCACAAAGCCACAGAAGCAGCTGAAATACTGGCACTTTCACACATGCTAAATAATGCAGTTTCAATCAGCAACAATTTGCAAGTGGATTTTGCAATTTCACACAGTAAAATCCAGTTGCAAAGTGCATCGAAAGTGGATTGAAAGTGCATTCTTTAGAGCATGGGAAAGTGCCCATTGTCAACATTACTTCGAAATATATACTCTAAATTCTTAACATTTTCATTAAAGAAAACAATTTTTTACTATAACTACCCGCTAAACATTTATAACAATGACTGGCAAATAAGGGATAAAAACATGTGTAAGAAGGGCACACGCTATTATAACCCACTTTAAAAAAATAATTGTATACTGCAAAGTACTGGGCAATTACATTTTGCCTTAGTTGCAGAAAATGAACTGTGGCTGCGATAACACACACTAAATAATCCACTTTCAGTCCACTTTTGAATTGGATTCTGCCAGTAAAATCCAGTTGGAAAGTGCATTGAAAGTGGATTGTTTAATGTGTGTGATCGCAGGCTGTGACTGCCATCTAGAAAAGTAGCTATGGTCTAGCCACATTCAGGTTAATAACACTGAAGTCTGGAAACCTGGTAGACTCCAGATTGTTAGATGCTGCCATTGCTGCCAAAATGCCTCCATTCTTTGCATAAATACATCTTGATGCTTCTATATTGGTATTGGGACCAGAATCTCAACAGGTTTCTGGCCATCACAGAGACAAGAGGCAAGACTGCATCTAATTCAATCATACTTATTGGAAAAGAATAGGTATTCCTAGGGAGTAGGCTCACCATACCCATTATCTGGCCATCCAATCTTAACCAAGGAGCCACAGGAACTGTGTGCCTATAGCTACAAGAAGACCCTATGAATTAGTACAGGAGTCTCCAACGTGGTGCCCATGGGCATCATGGTGCCAGCTTCCTGGCACCAGCCAAGGTTTTTTGGAAAGCGGGTTTGGCCACTTGATGCTTTTGCCCAGCAAGGCCTCTGATTAGACATTGAAGATTTGTTTGGTTATGCATTTTTAAAACAAAATGTTCATTTGGCAGCAGCAGCAGCAGCAGCTACCACAAGAACAGGAATCTTCACTGTATGACTAAAGCAGCTATTTTATGGCTGGCCCAACTTCCTATGGCAGCCAGTTTGTGGCAACGTACATCACACTGCGTCAGAATTCCAAATATGCCCACAGGTTCAGAAAGGTTGGAAACCCCGAGGTGAGCCGGTCCAGTGGCGACGAGAGCAGACATGAGCAGGCTCACTGCTCACTAAGCTCTTTCCTTTACAGTATTTTTGGGTTGTCCAATGCCCAAAAAAGTGTTCTTTTGGAGAAAGCAGGAAGCTTAACTTTGAATCCATGTAGGAGTGGCAAATCTGCATGGAGTAACAAAGGTGCTTCAAGGCGAGGACTGCTAAGGACGCCCAGCAAGAATGCCAAGCGAAAAGATGCACCTTGAAAGAACCATAAGGAGTCAAAACGCAAGGAAACTTAACTTTAACAATTTACAACAAGCTGACAAATGAAAAAGCTAAGTATCAAAAAAATATATAATTATAAGAAGGGTAGAGAGATGTGGCTTTAGGGTGGGACTCAATGACTAAGGGAGAAAAACAAGTTGAGTATACCACTTTAAGGCAGCCATTAAAATTTAAATCCAAAAATTACATTTAAAAGTGGAGGAAAAGAGTAATTTAAAGCAAAGGAATAGCTGCAAAAAGGAGGGAGGAACTTAGATACCTGTGGATATTACGTTTTGTGTGGGTTCTGTATCATCATTGCAGAGGATCTTGCTGGAACAAGAGAGGGACGGCGTGGCACATACTGAGAGAGAGAGAGCAAGGAGGTGTGTGGCTGAACGAGCGAAGGAGGCAGACGGAGCTGAGCGGTGCCGAGTGGGATCGAGAGGGGCTGAGTGGCACAATTGGATGAGGAGGCGGAGTGGTAGACGATCAAGAGGGCCAAGAGGAGCCAAACGGCGCATTCGGATTCGGAGCCGAGCGGACGAACGGAAAGTGGAGAGACGAGAGACGAGCGGACAGCTGAGTGGAGTGGACGAATGGAGAGCCAAGTGGGATCGACCGGAGGTGGACCATCAGAGGACTGAGAGGAGCTGCGGAGCCGAGTAGAGGGCGAAAGCGACCGTGCGCATATAAACACCCGAGGACAGAGGCGAAAGTGAAGGTGACAGAAAGGAAGAACGACAGAGTGAAATATTTGAATTTGTACTGGACCCGCGCTTTGGGTGACTGTATTGTAGATCA